CGCAAATAACTTTCTCCCCCCCCACTCCCATCAAGAGTTTATTAGCAAAGAAGACTAGCTACTCTATGTTTACTTGCCAACCAATTTAGGAGAAGGACAGCACGGAATTAAAAACCGCTTAGTCATGAGTTAGAAACTCCACGCTGCAAAAACTTATTTACTACAGAAACCACCGTAGCAACACTTAAAGTGGTGAAGCTGTGTCATCGGAACCGACAGGGTTTAATATAATTTTAGAAAATCAAATAAAACATTTATCATCACTGGAGTCTAACTTCACCATACTTTCTATAAGAATATTGTCTCTGCCATATTATAGCGATCAATTTACTTATTTCAAATATGGAATCAAACCTCGAGTAAACTTACGACATTTAGAATCACACCGCGTGTCAAATTACGCCCTTTAGAATCAAGCCGCATGTTAACTTACGCCCTTTAGAATTACACCCCGTGTCAATTTACGCCCTTTAGAATCAAGCCGCACGTCAAAATACGCCCTTTAAAATCACACCTTCGAAATTGCGAAAGATTTTCTATTTACATAAATATGTATACTGCATTATTAATTTTACGAATTGAAATTGATTTCTTTAGAATCAAAATGTCAGCTATTCATTGAATTTCAATAAAAGTTATTCTTAATGGTGCACCATCTCTTGAAGATGGCACCTACGAGACTAGAAGAAGACCATTCTGAAAAACGCAACATATAACCATATAATTTTAAGATCTAAAACAGATGCATATTACCCAAATATTAATCTACGCCCTATATCACCTTTCCTAACAGAATTACTACTCTCCCAAATAAACGTACAGAACAGTATCAAGAAATCAAAAGAAAAAGGTTGAATTCAACACAGCAATAAAAACAATATCTCCACACGTGACAGTAATTGACGTAATTTTCTGTTAACAGTATGAAAATAGCGTTCTCTAAATTCTTCCTGTTGCTAAGGACATTTTGTTTTTGTTATTATTAATTACTTTGTTTAAATAAATTCATTTCGTTTTTGCCTTGAGAAAGTCCACATTGGATGAAACGCGTCGTTGGCAACTACTACAGTTTTCCTATTGTCATTTATATTTATAAATATTATCTTTTCTACTGGTTAACTCTGAGAAATTTTCATATATATATATATATATATATATATATATATATATAGTTAGTTAGTTAGTTAATGAAGTTATTTGATAATCCGTATGGATAATTCCAAGGAGCATGTAACCCAGAGAGCTCAATGTAAAAACAGAGCAAATATATTTTTTGTTATTAGTGTTGGTATTCCTTAAAATAATGTCAAGTGTTTTAATTGTAAATTGTATTAATCTGTATTCTTGAGTTCTGCCTGGATGATAATTTGTTCTCCCCCCACACCCCTGTTTTCCTATTTGTTTTCCATTCTGTCTTTATCACTTTTTTCTTCACCTTCTTTTCTTTGTCTAATTTCCTCTACTTTTTTTTCTCCTGCGAAATGACTTGATAAATAGATCAACATGTCTGCTCTCTTATCTTAATAAAGATAGATATAAACATCATCCTATCGCTTTTTTCCCCCTCTCTAGTTTCCATCCCATCTCTATCGTCTTCCTCTTCCTCTCTCTATCACCTTATACCAACTTAAAACTGCCTTCTCACACACGTGTGCATAAATTAATAATAATATGTAAGTTTTTAAGCCTGGAAAAATTTATCACCCATATTTTTGTACGAAAATGGGGAGCTGATAAATTAGGAGCAAAATCCCGGTCCTAAGGAAATAAATTATAACCCCATGAAGCTGTGGAATCTTCCACAACAAGCCAGTTAACCCCTGCTAGGAAATGCACTATTTCTGTTGTAATTTTCACCATCACAATCTTACAAAATATATAACAAGCATTCATTGTTAATCACCTTCAATCTAGCTTGCTAATTGGTCAGTTCCGACCAATCCAACCGCCTGCACGCGACAAATCTGTTTTCCCGCTCAATATGCTCGGAGCCTTGCACGTGATGCACGACCTTATAAAAACACAACACGTGTAAGCTCTCTCTCTCTCTCTCTCTCTCTCTCTCGTGTCTCATTCCTTGCTGCCAAGATGTAATCTTCAAGAACTCCCGTCTTAACCTTTGCGGTCAGACGTTAAAGACCATTATCAACATTCACGCAAGTACGAACTCTGGAATCTCTTCTGAACTTTTACCAACTTGTACAATACACAATTCCAAACATGATAAAGAAACTTTATTCTTCCTAGACTACAGTTTAATAATTACTTTCACTTTATGAACTTAGGTACAAATATTACCTAATCTAAGAGACACAACTATGTCTAACCTTTTCACTCAGTATCCATGCATGTATATTAAACACTAATAAATTCAATTGTTACGTTTTGAAACAAGATGTTAATGAATCTTTATTCTCTATCTTGTATTAATTGTTGTGGATGGAAGATTATTGAACACACACAATTTTAAGCCTTCCGATAATTCAAACCTTCTATTCCTCTCCAATACACATCACACATCCGCAACAAAGCCTATATATATGTCTATGGGTGTCTGTTTGGGCACGAAGAAACTTTTATTATTCTAGATTTGACAAACCGTAGACAAGTGAATGTAACCCTGCGTCATAATTTCAGAAGTGGCGTCATAATTTAAAAAAAAAATACGCTGTTTTTCTTTCTTTTCTTTTTTTTTTTTAAATAAGACCCTTCAAGGGTTGATTTAGAAAAATGCCGATATATTTTAATAACATAATACCATTGATCGAGAAAAAATAGCCCGATTAATGTGAGTGTTGTATGTGAACCAGCTCACATGATATTGCAAGCAGACTTAAACAGGTAAAAGAGAAGGGAAGGTTGGTGGCGAGGTGGACGTGGGAGGGCAAAAATGAGACAGACAGAGAGAGAGAGAGAGAGAGAGAGAGAGAGAAATCGGAAACGGAAATTATAAAAAATTGCCATGTGGGATGAAACACTTTTTTTTTTTTTTTTTTTTTTTTTTTTTGCAAGTTGGTTGGCAACAAATGACGCTAATAAGAAAAACGTTAAACGGAAACACGTGACATCGTGATGTGTAGCCAACGATATGTTATGTTTTAATTGGCAGGGTAACAGTGCGTCTCTATTCCCTGCGCCCTCTTTTACACATGCCAGGCCTTCGGTTGATTTCGACCAAAAGAATAATTCACATTATGTCATCACTTCCTGGCGAACATCGATTTACAACCAATAAACTATTTGCTTTAAATCATGCAATTACTTATCGCGAGGTCAGAGTGATAATTTTTCATATTTCCTTTCCTTTTCCTCTATTTTTATTGACAAACCCCATCACCGATTTTTTTTTATCTTTAGACATTTTCACATTTATTAGTGCACGTTACTTACCCTGTTTCTTGAATCTTTGTGTCTCACTAAACATGTATATCTATGCTTACGTATGCTTACGATATTTGCATTTACTTTTAATTATGGAAGCAAATATATATGCCCATTAAGAAATTGTATTCCTGATCAATTATAATTCGTAAATTATTATATAGGCCACACTACAACATGTTTGACACGCAGACTCACTCTACACCTTTCTGACCATAGCTCAATTAGATCTCATTTAAATATATATAGAGAGACATAGCATATAGACATTTATATTGGCAAGAAAACAAACCGAGGGTGATAAAGTGAAGTTTTATTTATTTATTTTTTTAAGCATTTCACTCTAAGCAAGGCAGGGGTGCCACAAGCACACAAGGGGTTACAGAAAGTGAGAGCAAGAGTAAAGAGGCGTGAAAGAGGAAGAGAAGGACTGGGAATAGATCTGGAGATGTCGTTTGACATTGCATTTGAATAGTTGGACATTATAGCTATCAGGGAAGCAAGTAAGAGGAAGGGAGTTAGAGTAGAAGAGGCGGCTACTTTTTGAACTTTCATGTTTCTGAAGATCATGTGAGAGTTTAAACTCGAGTTACAACTAGGGCCATCCATTCATAGGATTTAACATTGGTAAGCTCGGTCTAGACAACCTGAGCTTCAAATCCCTTATTTTTCCTGAGTAGGTAAGTTTGCCATAGGCATTTTTTTTCTCTTTCTTTTTTCAGTATTGTCGGTTTTATCCAAGACTATATCTGGATAAGTGTTTTAGGTTTGTTTTATGTTCCTTTCACCAAAAGATAATTTTTCCTTAACACACACACACACACACATATATATATATATATATATATATATATATATATATATATATATAGCAATATCATTAAATGACTGAGAAAGCATTTCGATTTTTCTTGTGAATGTTCTCTATGTCCGAGGATTTCGGCTATACGTAGGACATCATCAAGGACAGTTTTATTTTTTGCTTTTAACTGAATATATAGATTGTTTTATGTATGTATCTAGAGTTATAGGAATGTTTTTCCAAACACGGCCAGCACATCGTGGCCGTGTTCATAGTTGGTGTTATTGAGTGTTGGCTTTTTCTCTTTTATTAATAATGCTTCCATAATTTTTAACCCCCCTTTTTTACATGTGGATCAGGCTATTATATTTGTTTTATCAACCAGTATACTGCGGATAGAGATCGGTAGTTCTCCGTGTGTGTTTAAATGAAATCGAATTGAGTTATGGTCAGAGTAATACAAGACAGAGAGTGAGGCGGTGGGATCTTATACTTCTAAGTCCCCACATTCTGTGAATGTTATATGGGGTACTTTAACGTGTGAAACTGCACTTTTACCAAATGGCCACTCTTCGGAAATTATACCTTTTTCCCCTTGATTTCTAATGCCTGGAAGGCAAGCAACAGAAATTCTGCTTTCTCCCTTTGACCTTCCCTTCTTCTCTTTTCATTTACATGCTCGCTGCTCAAAGGGAATAGAACAGGAAAGCAATTAAATCACTGTTTTGTTATCCATTATGCTTACATGTTTTTAAATATTATCGATTGTTTGGAATTTATTCTCAGAAATTAAGGAATAGGAAATACATATGAAATATCATGAGTACAAAGAGGATAGTGAAAATGATCTATAACACAGAAAATGATCCTTGAAAAAAAGTAAGGCGCTGCATATACATATCCTTCGGCCCTGATATATGCAAACTCTAGGACAATGTTTTGTGGCCAGCCTATAGATTTCGAAGTATCGCCGAAAGAAGGATATATTGATCAGACTGAAAATAATAGATAAATAGATAGATAGATAGATATGAATAAGGCTGGAATAGATAGATATTAATGAGGCTGAAAGTGATAGATAGATAGATAGATAGATAGATATTAATGAGGCTGAAATAGATAGATACGAAGATACCGTGAATATAGATAGATAGATAGATATTAATGAGTCTGAAATAGATAGATACGAAGATACCGTGAATATAGATAGATAGATAGATATTAATGAGGATGAAATAGATAGATACGAAGATACCGTGAATATAGATAGATAGATAGATAGATAGATATTAATAAGGCTGGAATAGATAGATATTAATGAGGCTGAAAGTGATAGATAGATAGATATTAATAAGGCTGGAATAGATAGATATTAATGAGGCTGAAAGTGATAGATAGATAGATAGATAGATAGATAGATATTAATAAGGCTGGAATAGATAGATATTAATGAGGCTGAAAGTGATAGATATATAGATAGATAGATATTAATACGGCTGAAATAGATATTAATGAGGCTGAAATAGATAGATACGAAAATACCGTGAATATAGATAGATAGATAGATAGATAGATAGATAGATGTTGTTAATAAGGCTGAAATAGATAGATAGATAGATTTTAATGTAAGATAACTTTTCAAGGCTAAGAAATGTCTTTTCAGATATTGTTTTATTTAATATTCATTCTATTTTACTTAACAGTCGAAGAACAACAATAAAAAATCAGCAAAAAAACGAAAGAATGATAGAATGAATATTCCAGAATTAATAATAATGATAATGTTTCATCTCAAACAAAAAAAAATCACAACTTCATATTCTCGTTTAAAAATGTCATATTCTCGGCTAATCTCAAATATTTTACAATGCCCAATCATGAATAAAAAAAGAAACTAAATCCACCCCCAAAAATAAATCTCAGCGTTTGGCGGCGATGTTTTTTTTTTTTTTTTTATCTAGAAAATATTACTGAATTATGATGTCATAAGTATTGAACGTCATTCAAACGTCACTTCCGGTTTTTTGTTCTTTTCTTCCAGAATCGTCCACTACGCCACGTGTCACATGTTGTCGGATCACATTATAGACATGAAGTTTCGATATTTTTAGAAACAGACAACATTATTTTCACGTGTTGATTTTTTTTTTCTTCAAATAATCTGATTTATCGATTCAAAAGGATTGCCAAATGGCGTCACCTGAAATGGTTTTGTCCTCGTTTTAAGGATTATTAAAATATACTCGCAGATATTAATATTAATACTGACAACTCTGCTTTTATTTGAATATAAATAAACCCCCTAAGCTGCCTACTAGCATCTGTAAATCCACATTAGCACTCATAGGTTACAATGAAGATAAGCTAGAAACATCGAGTGACCTTCGTAAGGGATTTTGAGTAAAATCCGAATAATACATAAATCCAAAAGACAAAGCGTGGTGGTAAAGGAAGAATAGTTACATTGAACGATAAGGGAAATTGTGGAGAACCATGATCGGTCACGTACTTAAAGGACATTCTATATAATGTGTTTAAATGACGTATTCTTGTGCTTTCTAATTATTATTATTGCGTAAAATCCAGACTGAAGATATGTGTTAATATGTATTGATTATTTACTTATATGTATACATCAGTTGGGTTATAAATGTTTAGATATATAATTGTGTGCCTGTACGTGTGTGTACTAATGTAAACATACTTATAGGTCCTTTTGAATTATATATATATATATATATATTCAAAAAATTTAAATGCAAAATGAATCGTTATCTCGTGTCTTCTTATTTCCTTTTCTTTAACTGTCTTCTCTCCTTAATAGTATATTTTTCTTATATTGTCTAACACGCAATGACCCCTTTCGTCTTAGTGGATTTATCGCCTTGCTTGGTCGGGGAAATTATTTTATATATATATATATATATATATATATATATATATATATATAGTTTAAAAATCAGGTGGTCAATTAAAATACACGATCTGGCGGTCTTGTTGGGCGATACTTGAAAAAACGAATTGACCTCCTGATTTTAAACTTAAATGCTCTACATGTTATTTTATTTTTACTTTTCCAAACGTGTATTGAGCACTTTTTAATACTACTGTTCCCTGGTCTGATTCAACTCTGGCCATTAACCTTTATATATATATATATATATATATATATATATGTGTGTGTGTGTGTGTGTGTGTGTGGAGTTATTTACTGGGAATGATTTAGCCTTGTATTGAGATATATTTGCAAGAAATCTATTATGATACGAATATTTGTGTGGTAAACTTACTGAGTTTATGTGATACTATGCATGTATAGATAGATAGATAGATAGATAGATGAAGAGGCATAGAGAGATAGATTTGTTCTGTTCGTACACATATGTTTACACTGTTGTTGTTAACTCCTAATATAGATAGTTATATTATAATTCTATTAAGTCGGATATTTACAGATACATTTGGATATTAGTTATTGAAAGAAAACAGAATCTTCGTGACAGATATATAGCTCGAATAGAGAGAGAGAGAGTGTGTGTGTGTGTGTTTTAAAACGAAGGAATAACTCATAGTACTACTAGTCATTTTACTACCCGACTATATTTTTAGGCGAATAGCATCATTTGACTTTGAGACTATATTACATTTCGATAGTCAATACAATGAACGGTCGGTGACTCTAGAAGCAATTAAATGAATTGAGACGATGGAAGTTTGGCCCTCACAAAAACGAAGCATTGACATACCGTTACTGGTGGCCTCGGCCGCTTATTTATCAATAAATATCTTCACATGTTCCTCTACTCATAACTTGATGCAAGTCTAATTTATTTTACCTGCATATTTTATTAGACGATGATTAGGTCATTCTTTCTCTCTTTCTTTCTTTCTTTCTTTCTTTCTTTCTTTCTTTCTTTCTTTCTTGTCATGTATCTTTTATGAATTCGTTCCAGCAAATTTCTTCAATTCAATTTATTTTTTATAATATTAATGTTTTGCCCCCATTTATCTGCATTCTTTCTTTCTTTCTTTCTTTTTCTTTCTTTCTTTTCTTTTTCTTTCAGTCTTTTCTTTTTTCTCTCCATTTCTTTCTTTTTTTCATTCTTTACTTTTTTTCTCTGTCTCTCTTTCTTGATTTGTCACGTGTCTTTTATGAATTCATACCATCGAACTTCTTTATTTCAATTTATTTTTTTATCTTTCTTTCTTTCTTTCTTTCTTTCTTTCTTTCTTTCGTTCGTTCGTTCGTTCGTTCGTTCTCTCTTTCTTTCGTTTTCACTTTCTTTCTTTTCTTTTTGCGTTCGTTCGTTCGTTCTTTCTATCTATCTTTCTTTCTTTCCATTCTCTTTTTCTTTCTTTCTTTTTTTCTTTCTTTCTTTCTTTCTTTCTTTCTTTACTCTTTGGGTCCCATTACTTTTCTCTAAATTGTTACACGTTTCAGATTTTCCCCTCCCCTAACATTTTATCCATTCTTTATTCCACATCCATCTCTTTCGACTCTTTTTAGTTCCTTCCCCTTTCTATCAGACATTTTTTATTTGAATAATTCAAAAATAAAATAAATCGATATTTCTCTTATATTTCTTTCTTTCTTTTTTTTTTGTTCCTTTCTTTCTAGGAATATATCTTATCTCCACATAATGTGATGCATATATGCAAACAAACTAATTTACTCAGCAAATTAGCTCCAATGACACTTAATGTTTGTATCAGAATCTTCTCAGCTTGACGGTCGAACTCTCTGCCTCTGAGCAGAGAGGAACCCGAACGAGGCTCCGCTGAAGGGCAGAGTCTCGTTCGGGGAGGTTGACTAACCCGATCCCGTTTATACGGGTTCTATGGGCATTTTTTGGCCGAGCCTACAGGCTCGGGGAACCCACGTTAAACTCGGCCTTGTGCCATACGCAACCCTCGTGGGAGTGTGGCTAGATACCAAATCGATGTCCTGCAAATGTATCCCTATGGCAGGCTGAGTCAGTATTACTAAACATCAAACTTATACTATTCGACAATGGCCATAATGTGTTGGGACTCTTCTAAAAGGCACACCAACTACCATATTTCTTCTCACATATCTTTCAATTTCTGCTACTCCTACACAATACGATTTAGAACAGAAATATTGAAAACAAATGAATTACTTGAATTGGGCAAAAGCGCTTGGGACAGCAATCATTCAAAACAAATGACGCAGGTAGTTTCAAAATGTTTTCTTTCATCTGAATTCTTTTTCTTTATCTCTCTACGATTTTTGTTCCTGATTAACCAACACTGTGACAATATAAAATCTACCAAGAACGGAGATATATTATAATTTCGGTTAAATTTTTTAAAAAAATTCTTTGAAAAGATTTTGAAACTACGAACGTCTCTCGTTTCGTGCGCATGTGTAGACGTGGCAACCTCAACAAGGCCCAGTCCGATGAAACCTTAATGGATGAAACGCCTTACAAAGTAAACTTTCCAGTTTGTTGTTATATATATATATACATACAAGTATATGATTGGTATATGATTGCGAAGGATTGTTAATTAATTTGAAACTTTTAAAACCATTTATTTTACATTCAACATCATCACTTGATAAGACACCGGAGGTGTTGAAACGAAATGGCTATTTTTGTAGTGATTTTATAATATATTTATGTTACAAATTTATTTTAAATAAATAATTATATATATATAGATAGATAGATAGATAGATAATATTAGTGGAAAATATGGAATAATTGGATCGTATTTACGATTCCAATGGAATAAATTATGACCATGGAATATTAGTGTTTAAGCCTTTTTAATATATATATATATATATATATATATATATATATATTATGAAATGGATAATATCTGACAATTATTTTAAGACATTTTTATGTTTATACATTCTTTTTATAGATACAAATATTTAAGTAAATGCTCTGTTTATAATAAACAAATTTAAAACAACATTTACGGCTCTGAATATCCGAGAAATTTTCACAGAAAATATTTGTTCTCCGATAGGATATGAACCTGTATCCTATACAGAACCGTCATTTAGCTTGACGTGCCTTTACCGATTTGGCCACAGAGGAGCGTTCGGTTAGCAAGGTCGAATTTACTGTATTTGAACTTCAATCTTCTATAAATCTCTCATGTACATTCATATCTGCTCATGGCGTATCAAATGTAAACAAATGACGTCACACATTATGAAATGGACAAAGTCCGACAATTATTTTAAGACATTTTTATATTTATACATTCTTTTTATAGATACAAATATTTAAGTAAATGCTCTGTTTATAATAAACAGTATTAACAACATTTACGGCCTGAATGTCCGAGAAATTTTCATAGAAAACCCGCAGTATATTTTTTTTTCCCATTTCATTTGTAATTTTGTTTGTAGGTCTTGAAGATTGAGAGCTGCTTTTTTAGAGCTCTCATGAAATAAAATTATTACCTATGGGATTTTAAGTGTTTGATATTTTTTAATTAATAATAATCTTGCTCTTTCTTTTTATATAGAGCTCTACCTGGATCTTGGATTTCCTTTTGGAAATTCCATGCGGATTAGCATATTGTATCATTACTATATATATATATATATTATAATTATTTTTTAAAACATGATTCTTTCGCTACACAAGAGTGTTCATGCTTCAAAAACAAGAGCCAATAACTTCAAAATAATTATTAAAATTCAATTGAATTAAAGTATCAAGATCTGTTTCCTCTTCAAGCGAAATTTTTGGAATAACTAATCTCGGAATTAACGTATCTTCATAAGCATATTCATTCGTAAAATTAATTCCTCTGGAAAGGGTTAGAGCAATTATTTAAATAAGGGACGTAAGGGTTAACAATTTGTATAAACATATCAGTTACTTTCAGAAAGAGGTCAAGTCAAGGTAGGGTTGGAGTTTCTAATTTAAAGCGAATGATAACATTCATACGCAAATCGTGTAGTCTGTTTCAGTTACAGAATAAATGGCGTTATTGCTACACCGTTAAGTGTCTATGGAGATTTTTTGTTTCTATATAAAGGCGTCGTATTGAACTACAATTTTTTGACGACTTCATAATGGTTTTTTTTTTAATGATTGGGTTAAGCTATTAAACCTTTCATTTAGACTATAAAATTTTGAATTTTTATTTATTGATTTTTTTAAGCTAATTATTTAATGCGAAAATTTGTTGATGTCGTCAAAAAGCTGTTAACTCATGTCTATGGTTTAATAATTTTTCATTATTTAGAAACTTAATAATGTGTAGTTTTTCATGTAGACATAAAGGGCATGGGTCATCCCAGGTTTTACAAGTTATTGTTCTATTTATATATAAGTACTGACAGACCTTAGAAAATGTAAGAAGAGTTTATCCCTTCTCTCAGCAGTTACGGGTAAAATAGTAGGATCTTGATAAGTCAATCAGCCTAGAAGAACAACATATCTGAGTTGAAACCCCTTTCTCAAATGTTACTTGCCAGCATTGCATGGTAAGAGCCCTTACTCCCATTACTTTCTAATACATATATAAATAATTTTATAACAGATTTGAAATTTGATTGAATGAACTATCCACTTTAAATCGGTAACTACGTACGCTTCAAAGATTAACTTAACACCAGCATCTAAAGAACTGCATTGAGTACTATTTGTAGACACACAAAAGCAGAATTAGATGACAACGTCCGGTGTAAAAGATAGTGAATTATCCATCATTCAATCTATCGATACATGTACATAGAAATGTAAGGAATAGTCTTATTCACATATACACATGATAAACAACAAAAGACTTATAGATAGATAGATAGATTGATAGAAAAAGCATGAGATAGATGAATAGATAGATAGGAAAATTAAGAGATTACTATATATATATATATATATATATATATATATATATATTAGTGAATGCACATAATATCCAACGTCGATAGCACGACTCGGAGTTTTGTGCATAATGGCAATCTTCAGATACTGGAAACAGTCTGACCGTTATGAAATTAGCGTTCTCGTGGTGAGGATTTAAAAATGTGTGTTAAGATTTGTTTGTTTTATTATTGTTGCCTAAAATATTTTAATTAATTATTTATAATTTATGCCATTCGAATTCTTAAGATCGAAAGACGAAGAATTAAAAAAAAATAAATTAAAAACTATTTTAAATGAAAAATTTTAAATTCTAAATTAAGTAAACACGTTATGTGTCAAGGGGGATGACTCTCTTTTTTGCATAAAATACCATTGTTATAACATTTAACGTACTGTCTGATGCAAAACAAAAAACTTAGTACTCACCATCTTAATATGATAATAAATTGAGACTATCTATCAAATGTTTTTGGAACCTAGCTTTATACAAAAGGTAAAATTACTTACACACACGTTATAAATTAGTTGAGTACGGTAATATGGGAGTATATATGTATAGATATATAAAAGATTTTATTGATGATGGATTCTATGAATATTAGAAGCTGTTAAATATTATATTAATATTCGTAAAATCTTTTTTGAAATCGATTTTAATCTGGCTCAATGTTTTTGAACAGATGTTTGGTTTTATAGATTCATGTAGCAATCAATTCGCTTCTCGTGTTCAGCAAGTTAGGGTTATTTAAGTGCTTTAATATAATAAGCTTCTCCAACAAACACAAGTTACATCTGTCTCCCTTTCCATTATATGGTTTAGTTTCGCGATTATCTTCCAGCTAATGGATCGGTTCTTATAGTTCTTTTTTAATCGCCAAACATACGTTGAAAATGTTGTGCAGTTTTTGTATTTCATATTGTTCAGTGTCATTTTGTGGTGGTAAAAACGCGATTTCCAGCTATTCTCAGTAGATCGAAAGTAATATTTACCATCATATATGTGCAAGTATATGCCTGTATATCTATATGTATAACATACCTATATATATATATATATATATATATATATATATATATATATATATTAAAGAAAAACAGAACTCTTTAAGGTTCCATTATAATAATTTATTTCACCAGAGCCCTTTTAAAGGACGCCGGATCATCAGATAGCACTTCTAACAGATGAAACAAAAAATGAAATGAAAATTGATGGGTAGTGTAAGTTTTTGTAATTTAACAGAGAGTGTAATAGGGGTGGTTAGAGAGGCATGGTAGAGATTAGGGAGGGTTTAATTTAATATATTTTTCAATCATACTTAATATTGGGGGAGGATATATATATATATATATATATAGAGAGAGAGAGAGAAAGAGAGAGATTAACAGAATAAAATAGTTATTTAGGGAGATAGAGATAGGGTGAGATTGACAGATTAAAATAGATAAACAGATAGAGAAATGCACATATTAAAATAGACACAGACACACATATATATAGTAAAAGAGATAGAGATTAACTGAATAAAATAGATAGATAAGAGAGAATAATAGATTAAAAT